ACTTGCTTCGTTCGTAGTGAGGTCAAAATTTTCAATGTAATAATTGATAGGGATTTGACCGTTAGTGACCTGGAAGCTAAGATCAAAACTGACCGGCCAGATTTAGAAGAAATAAACATCGAACTATATAGGAAAGATTTCTTTCAAGAAAATAATGTTCTAATCAATACTGTGAATAGCGATAAACCTGAAAAAAGACAAGGGGTATGGATGGACCCGCAAAAAAAAATTTCTCAATGCTTTTCCTTGGGGGAAGAAGACTTTGCATCGCCTTTTCCTCTAGAAGAAGGTAAAATAGCCGGCTTAAAACCTATTAACATCATCATATACCCCCAGGTGGAGTTGGAAAAAAAGCCTCCCTCGGATATTGGACTCTAGCGAATCAGAAAGCAAACTTCGCGCGATCCCTACAGGAGATCCGCTTGCGCTGTCCATTTTCTGAAATAATTAGTATTTTTTTATCATGCTATGTAATAGTTTTTATGTAATGTTAAGCTGGTTCCGGCAACATTTTTATTTCATAAATAAAGTATTATTATTGTGAGAAAGGGTTACGTGTAATGGTGCGGTCCATGGACTAGTCGAAGACGCTAAAGCATAAATCTAATATTTTTATCCGAACCAATCTAGCCACTAGCTTATATAAAAACGTCAGGTGATAAGTGAGAAGAGTCTTCACGGTTAGGGAGGCGCAGTGATTTGCACTTATGATGCAAAGTGGCTGTCTGGCTGATCGGTCTCTTGTGCGACAGTTGAATTTCTCTCATATACCAGCCCTCTGTATTTTTTCGCAAATAAAATTCTTTTTTACTTTTGTCCTCACATACCGCACTTTGAGCCAATAACATTTCGCAAAAAAATACTATATAAGCCGAAAACATGTCTATCACTTTACTATGTCTCTTCAAAGGAAATACGACCGCTAGTGCTTTTGCCTTAGATATTGATAGGTAAAAGCTGGTTAGCCACCTCAAGGACGCTATTAAAGAGAAAAAACAAAATGACTTTGCTGGTATAGACGCAGACAGGCTCAAGCTATGGAAGGTGTCGATCCCTGGCGATCAGGACGATCAATTAAGAAATCTAATACTCCAGGACAGTGACGAGCTGTTGGCAATAAGAAAGATTTCGAAATATTTCCCAGACTCACCTCCCGAAGAACATATCCATGTTATTGTAAAATTGCCACGTAAGTGTCTGGTATAGTCTGTGCAAAGCGCCTTAAAGTCTAATTTTTCGTCATTTGCCCTTGTAATATTAACACGCATTCGTTTCCAGTTCTCAGCTTAGAAGAGGCTTTGTCGTGTATTCCACCACCCATAACATATTCTCCGGACTGTACTAAATCGAAGACCACTACAAAGGTTAATGGTGACCCACCGACAAGTGTACAACTATGGGGCGACTTTTTCGATAAAGTGAATCAATTCCGCTTCGACCAACAACTGATATTCGAGAGGCCACAATTTAGCCAAGACAGAGAAGTAGATAATGAAGAGGATGTTCGTGATGCCTTGAATTCCAACATTTGTTTGGTGTTAAATAGACTTATGGGATCAGAATATAAATTTTCAAGACGTTTACCTAATACTCCTGGCGTACCGGACTTCACCTGTCATCTCGTAGGTTCATTGATCTTGGTGATTGAGGCTAAAAGAAAGCATGTTTTAGAAGATATGGGAGAACAGACATTTCCTGAGTTTTATAATACAAGTAAGGGCAAGGATGTGATTCAGCAAATCTATAATTATATGGGAGGAAACGAACTTAGATACGGTATTCTTACCACCTATGATAATCACTGGTTTCTATGCCGAGAACACACGAAGCTTTGGATCTCAAAAACCTTTCACTGGAATCCGAATCTCCACCCGTACTCAAGGCATATGCTTATCTAACTCGACAGGCGAAAGAGAATCCAAACTCTCCTAAACCTCAAGTACTAGTGCCGGCTCAAGGGGATAATAATTCACGTACTCTTCGATCAAACTCAAAATCATCATCCAGCTCTTCATTAACTAATCAGGCTTCCAGCACCTTTTCGAATCAACAATCATCTTCTAACGTCCCAGTAAACCAGCAAAAGTTTAGCTTCGCAGACTTCAAGTTTAAGAGCATACTAGGTGAAGGTCGAAGTGGTAAAACACTTCTATGCTAGTTTCGTGGTGAAACGATTGCTTTGAAGAGTGTAGACTTATCGAAGGCCCCATCGTATGTTCTGGAAGAAATGCAGAAAGAAGTAGAGATGTATAAAGATCTAGCTGATATTCAAGGCAAGTATATCCCAAAGCTGGTCTGTTATGGATATTATGGAGGAGGCATGAGCTTCGTTATCGGCTTAACCATTGTTGGTAGTATGTTGAGCGACCAAAAAATAACGGAACAGCAAAAGGCAAGGGCTATTAAGGGATTGGAAGCAATCCACAAACATGGCATCCTCCATAATGATATTCGGGAGGAAAATATCTTAATTAACGATAAAGGTGCCCTATACCTGATTGACTTCGGGATGGCAAGCCGGGAGGATACAAAAAAGAAGAGAAAGCTTTTCGAGGAGGAACAGCTCAAATTATCTCAATTGCTAGATGGATATATTGTGTAAGAATTTATTATTTTACAAATTCCTGTACAACGATTACTTGTAATCCTAGTTTCTTATAATTAATAATCATGTATTTTACAGACATTTCGTAAAGAAGGATGGGCGAATTTCCAAGTCACGTAAATGTCAGGTGGTTAGTTAGACTGTAGGGATATACATTAGACATTTATATAGAAGCGTCATGTATCACAGGCAATGTCCTGAACATTTGTATTTATTTTTCGCATGTATTAATAAAATATTTTTTTCTTGGCATTTTTCCGGGACCACGCGGTCTCAGAAATCTGGTGACTTTATAACCTATTTCTCTTAGTAAAATGACAGTCTCTATGTATATATATACTAACTAACTTTTGAATATTTCACTTGTATAAAATTTATCAATCATGTCATCCGAGCTTGAAGTATTGAAACAGCGTATCGTTGAACTTGAGGCTAAGAATGCCGAGCTTGAGGCTGAAAAAGCTGAACTTTTAAAGCAGATTATGGAGGAGAATACTAGACGTGATGTTAGAGTTGAGGAACTGGTGCAAAAAAATAAGGAGCTTGAGACCAGACTTGCAATAGTAGAACAGGCTTCCTTACCAGTGGAAGAGCAGTCGTATAATGATAATCCTTCTGACGATAGTACATCTAACTTTAATTCAGTTGCAGAATATCATGAGAAACCATTGGTGGATGTGGAAACAGATAATTCCTTCCCTGATGAGGTTTGCTATAATAAGCAAGAATTGGTGGCAACAGTACCTGCCAACTCTGCGAAGCATCTTAATGGCACATTGTTGGAAGAGAAAGATATGGATAGTTTCTTGCTTGAGGCTCATAAGAAAATCGTTAGTAGTGAAATAAAGAGACGCAATAAGGAGAAGAAGAATGAAAAAAATGGGCAGGGATTGATTCAAGAAATCTCTTCATCCGTACCGAAAGAAAATCATGTGACTAAAATTTCCGAGACCGCATGATCCCGCAAATCTGATAATTCAGATGCATTAGTGTCTTCATTTCATGGGACTAGTATGATAGAGATATCTCAGCATTTGGCCCAGTTATGTGATAAAGCGCTTATTGCTGAAGAGCATAGATTGGAAGCAAATCAAGAAGAAATATTATGCTGGTACCACTATGGAAGAAATTTCGTATTTCAGTTGGAGGTCTTGTGTGATAAAAATAAAATTGGCGAAAAGAAGGCAAGAGGTCTAATATACGATGAAGTCGTGAAGCAAGTTAATATCCTTCGTAAGAAAAGATCTCAAGATACAGGGGTGCCACTCCCAGACATAACAAGGGATGGTTTACGCAAAAAAACTCAGAGAGCTGAGAAGATCTATAAACTTCTCGAAAAAATAGGATTAGATAAAATCCAGTATATCAAGTCGTATAGTGCGAATGAAATATCAAAGTTTACTAATGATGAAATCCAAAAGATTATGGATCATTTCTCAAATAAACCCAATACGGATTTCATTGAGAATCAGGACAATTTTATTAACGATGATTCTTCCAGTCAAACTGATACGTCGGAGGTGCGAGCGAATCCCTTGGTTTCAGCTGAGGTAAGCATTCCAACATCACCTATTCTATTAGTCCATGACTCTAATTCATCTGATGGTTCCAAAGAAGTCGGCCCAAACAATTCGCTCAAAGCTGTGGACGATTACTACAAAATGATCTTGGAAGAATGTGCGAAGGATTGTGAGTATTTTGATTCTGCACCAGTGAAAGAAATGAATGAAGAAGTTGTTTTGCAATCAGTTAAGACAGACGATGATAGTGACTGTAATCGCGACAGTTATTCTGAAGAAGAGATGCCAGACGATTCGGATGATGATGGATATAATGGTTACGGTGGATATAATGAATATGGTGAATGTGATAGAGGTTATTATTATCGTGACGGAAGATATGAAAGGAAAGTCTCACCAATGATGAGCCCTATTATCTCTCCGGTAACTGCCTAGAAGAATTATTGGGTGAATCGCATACTCGCATAGACTGATAGGTTTATTTCTTTTTTTGAATCACGTGGGTGGCTTATGCAAAAGAAACTTTGTCATGTGGAATCGGATGTGTTGATATCGGGAAAATTCTTGCCGAGATTTTTCTGAGTACGTCATTGAAATTAACGTTTATCATATGGTTAACCGGTAGATCCCGCTTCTATTGGTTGGAAGTGTGAAGATTCTTCACGATTATCATATGACATAGCATGTATCATGGACTATGTCTCGAACTTTGTCTTAAAGAAAAAAAGCTAGAATAGAGAAATATCATTCAAAAAAAACAATCGTGTATAATAGTCTAGTCCCACACCATGTAATTTATTTTAGCTCAATGTATTGCAAATAAAAACGTTTAGGGCACTAAGCAATGTAGTCAAATACTTTTTTCGTGGCGATTCAATGTACATACTAATTTTTTATTGCTCGAGTATATATGCATATTAATGCAGGTAATTTAGGAAATCTGGATCGGCAAATTATTGGGCAATATGATTCCAGCGAAGATCCATGGACTTTTATCCTTCCTCAGATCAAACTTTATTGTTATGGAAAAATCACGTGATACCAGATAATAGGTAATACAACTGATTTGATATTGTGCGTATTGTGCGTGTTACGATCGCTTGTGTGACAACCAAGTTCTATATAAGCTAAAAAATTTTCACAAATCTTTTTTTTTAAAACCAAATGCTATCGACTTCCGTGTCTACAATGAATTTTTACAAAGTTACTCCGGTCCAAGAATGGACATGTACCAACATAGTTGAATATTATCGTAAGGAATTGAACATACAACTAGAACTAGCAAAAGTTCTTGACGACATAAAGAAAAATCTTTCTAACGTGGCAGATGTTAAGTTCGGATTCGACGAAACGCGTAGAATAAAAGCTCAAGAACTTATCAACAATTGGAAGGTGAGCTGATGGTTCCTGTGAGATTTTAGTCTGCAGTAAGGAACAGGAGGAGCTGAAACTATTAGTTTACAGTGGTAACCTCAACTATTCGTTCGAGTGTGGTGGGCTATTAGCTCGAAACTTCTTTTTATTCCTTTGGGAGGAGCTGAAACTATTAGTTTACAGTCTTATACCTGTCTCTTATACACATCTAGATGTGTATAAGAGACAGAGTGTGGTGGGCTATTAGCTCGAAACTCCCTTTGGTATATTTTAGTGGAAAACTTTTCGTTATAGAATGAATTACTAACACATATTCTATTTTATCAAGAATTGGACTGTTCCGGTGAAAAAAATATATAAGTCGAATCGAACATACAAAAAGATTGGAGTTGTGCGAGTTAAGCAACAGCTTAACGCGATCAAAAATTCCGCAAATCAGATTGATATATTTCAGAAACAGTTCATTTATGATAGTCAAAAGCGTCCCGAACAGACGAATGATGAGCAGACGGATGAAGAAATATTGGGCGAGGTATATACTAGCATTTTTTATTCAGAAGTTGGAAGCTAATCATATCGTATTTTAATATTACAGAGTGATCATAAACGGAAAACGAAACGTACCAAAATTGAGCATTTCTTCCCTGTGCGTAACAATATTCAACCTGATCAACGATCATTTGATAATGTGAATAATGATGAGGAACTGTCTGGTATCACTTTGGTGCCACCAGATGATAATTCTAATATTCAAGAGCAGTATCACCAGCTGGATGGGTACGTTACACCATCGCCACGTAGCCCAATGTTAAATTCGACTGTAGAACTTCCAAGAGTAAAACCTAAAAGTACAATACTTGTTGATATCGATAATAATCCGTTTATAGAGAAAAGCGATACCATTTTATCAATTGATGATATCCCATGTGATCTGACGTTTGAAAATGAAGTTACGACTAATGATATTTTAATAGGAGAAACTAATGTATCTCTGTTATTCCGTAATTATCAAAACAAGTCACTGGAGCTTGCGAGAACTAAGGGTTTATTTGTAGAGACCAACGTACATGAAATATTATCATTATCCTCGATCTTGTTGCTAACTACGAATTCACATTCAAACGTCATGATTGATCTTTTTGGCTCACCGTCACTCGAGCAAATCCATCAAGAATTCATGCCAGAGCAACAAATTGAATTAGATCCTAAGTGTGAATCGACATTTAGGAAAGCCATTAAGATGGCAATGAAACAATCATGTGAGGATGCCACAAATTGGTTCTATGGACAGCTTGCCAATGAAAACAATTTAAGAGAGAATGCGGGTTGTACCATCTCGGATTGTTTAAGGACATTGCCTATGTCAACCATAAAAAACGATCATAGCGAAACGACTCATATCACGAATTATCTTGACCGGATCATGAGAGGATTCTTTGATGATCCGAATCGACATATTGTTCAATGGCCGAACACAGCACTGGAAGAAAGTAGGGCCAGAAAGTTTGAAGGTCGAACAAAACAACCCGATTTCACAGTTTCCGTCATTCATCAGTTACAAACAAAAGCAGTTTAATTTGTAGGAGAAGTTAGTCCTCCGTCACAAAAAAATAAAGTATTTAAAAACTGTAATGATCTCATCCGCGTTGGTGTCTTTATGAAGGACTGTTTAGATTCGGCCATTGACAAAGGCGCTGATGTGAAAATAATAGGTTTTCAATGTGTTGGTAAGACAAATAATAAAATGGCTTTACTCTTTCATATAATTCTTTTAATCGCTTTTTTTGAATTTGCTTTTGTAGACTACAAGGTTGATTTTTATATTATGGATCTAGTTAAAGGAATATATACCATGCTCCATGTTGGTCATACAACATTTCCTGCTTCAATAAAAGAGATGCTCTCGTTTGTTGATGAAATGGAATTGCTTCTAAAAGTACGAAAAATTTTTCGTGAATCCTTTAACAATTTATATACAAGTCTCTGTCATCCAAGTCCGCCATTGGCAAAAGCATCATTCAAACGGGATACTCTTAGCACTCCGAAGTTTCGAGATTTGGTTAGCAAGACACATAATGTTAATAGAATCTGTCCATTTTGGTTTGGACGTTTTTAATCTATTTCTGTCAATGACTCATGTAACTCGGTCACATTCTATGTATTAGTTTAACGTTTCTGTATAAACACAAAGATTAATAAAGTTCTCCCACGTTGAGCGTTATTTTGAGTTTTTTTTCGAATCAAGTGGATCATGCGCAGTAAGTACGTCACTAATTTTTATCATATGATTAGCTGGCAGATCCCATATTTCTATTGGCTAGAAATGAGAAGAGTCTTCACGGTTATCATATGGCATAGCATGTATCACAAAACTCCCGATTTATTTTCACATGTATCTTTTACACATGATGTAATAATAATCGATCATAAATAAAAAAGAGAAAATTATTTTTTTACTAATCGCTTATTTATTATGCCATATTATCAAAGTGTATTACATATAACGAAATATGATTAATCGTTAGATCCTGCTTTATTGGTTGGTAGTGAGAAGAATCTTCATGATTATCATATGATACAGTATGCTACCTTATTTTCTCCCTTACCATGAAGTATAAATAGACTGACATAAACTCTTTTTTCGCCTTAATGGTGTCCCGGGAATCAATCGCATTGCTCCTAATGAGTTTGGGTCATAGAGTAGCTTCCGATCTTTTCTCTAAACCCCCCCAGAGAGCTGAACAGGACCCAGAAATATATATAAAAGGGTCAGGTTTGAGTTTGCGTATTTTGAACTAAAAAAATCATGAAAATCTTTCCTTTTTTAGATAATTTTTGATAATTCCAGTCAGAATTTTATTTCCTATTATAGTAACCGACTGACATTATCATAATTCCGGCCCTGAAAAAATGCGTACAGCTCATAGTAAAAAAATTTTTTCATCACCTGACCCCTATATACATATTTCTGGGTCCTAGCTGAACCTTGTTTGGCTTGCAAAAGGGAAATTATAAACTCATATGCGATGTTCCAATGTGGTCATACTTTTCATATTAGTTGTTGCAATGCATCTTCAGTCCGCAAAGAACGATGTCCAGAGTGCCAAAGCAATGTTATCGATCAGCTTGAACGACTCAGTTGGAAAAATATGAGTAGAGAAGAAAGATTGTTAGCTTTTATACATGAAGTGTCAACTGAAGTGATGGAAATTGATAGCAATTCATCAGAAGTAATCCCTCAGGACCAGCTCTCAGTGATTCTACGAAAATTATCTCGAAGAGTCGGCAAGGCCGATTCCAATGCCATCTATTGCTATTACGAATTTGGCTTAGCACTAACCCTTCGTCTCAATGAATTAATAGGAAAAGGGAAGAAGAGAGCACAACATGCATTAAATAAGGAAGTTCAGGATTATTTCCCACTTGGTACTTCTTTAGCCGTGGCAAAGGATAAAATTAAAAAGGCTAGAAAAATGGTTAAACTTTTTAGTGATGATCCATCAAGAATTCAATTTGTTCGTTCATTTTCTGTAGACCAGCTCTCGACTTTTAATGAAGACGATGTCAACTTTATAAAATCAAAATTACCAAAGCCTGGGACGCCATGAATATGCGAAATACCTCGAGTGTTTTATTATGTCTTTTTATGTCTTTTTATGTCTTTATATCTTTATGTTGTACGTATAACTATATGTCATATATCCCTTCAATAGAAGCTCTTAGCATCGTGATTTTATATTTATTATAAAACCATACTAGATAAATTTGTAGATATGTCATTCTTCCATTCAGTAGTCTTTTTTAGTCTGTGTGATCTTTTTTTTTCTCATAATTGATAAATAGGAACATAATAGATAAATTTGTAGCGAATGAAGGGATAACAAAACTTATATGTCAAACTCTCATTATGTCTGAACATTCAAGCATTTAGCTTTTTCGGCTTGGCCAGCTAATTTACAATAAAAGTACTTTTCATTTTTTAATGGTTCCGTCTAGTATTTTTTAATCAATGAATCTGCCTGCCTCTCGCAAGCTTGAAGTCAGAAATATCACGTAAAAAATTTATCTAGCTCCTCCTGCAGATCGATAGATCAAGGGGGCAGTAGACTTTGAATTTATTATTATTATACGATTACATTTTGTTTTATACTATTCTACTACGCCTATAATGTACACGCAGTTATGAAAAAATAATATCATAGCTAGAATAATGATTATTAATGCTTATTCTCACACCCATAATACATTTAATGAAAAAATCTTATTCCTGTTGCTCGTCTGACCCTTTACCATAATTGATGGTAACATTGATCACATTCGCATTTTGCGAAAAAGAAGGGGTACTTGGGGTTACGGATCTGGAGTTAATAGGTGTTTCAACGGATGGCGTTACCAGTCTTAATGGTGGAGGAGAGGTCTCAAATAAATCCATAATATCCGATGTTCTAGTGTTTGATGAGCGGGATGATGAACTTGTCCTGCTTAGGGATCTCTTAACGCTTCCACTACGTGCTTGTCCGGATTGTGATTCTATCAAATAAAATAGATATGTTATTATCAATGAAAAACCTCTCGAAATATTTTCTCTAAAATCATACCAGGCTTTAGCCAGAACTTTGATGAGAACTCCTCATAGATCTCTTCCCAACTAGGCTTCTTTTGTTCCCAGTTCCTTTTTTATACTTTTCTGCCATCTAAAAAAAATAATAAGTATTATTAACCGAACAGTTCATAGAAGATAGACGGGTAGTCCAAGAGAACCCATGCTACTTACGTAAAAAGCTTTCGTGAGGCTTAAGAATTTTTTATGACATTCATCGCCAGTGAAGTAATTAGTATTTTCTTGATTATTTTTTTCCCCAATCTCGTTCCAAAAGAGATACTTCTTCTTATTTGTAGTAGCATGATACTTCGCATTTCTATTTTTTCGTTCGTCAATGAGGATGCGAAGTTGAGCGTCAGAGAACTCTATAGTTAATTTCTTTTTACATGGTGAGAAGATTCTTTAAGGGTCTATTTTATAAAAACAATATCGAGTGATATGTTAGATCATTACAAGGCAAATTAATTGATCAATGTAACGAATAATAACGGTGGCTTAGCTATCATATCAATAGATCAAGGGAGGTGAAATCTGATTGGCCGATCATCTCGTGATTTATGAAAACTCGGAACTCTCCTAGAACTATCAAGGAACTGGCAGGGAGTTAGGGTGATACTGTGATATGATATACATTGTACCACAAACTGATTTAGCCAAGGCGTTGTGCATATGCATGTAAATATAAAATTAGCATAGTCGAGATATGGCCCTATATAAATCCTCAGTATGCTTATAATCGAATAAAAATGAATCTGATATTTATTAAAGTATACTATTGCTAAATTGGCTAAAATCGCTAAAAACAGTATAAATCAATAAAATCGTTATATTCTGTTATAATCTACCAAAACACTAATATGGATTTAGATAGTAAAGCCTATTCCAAGTTAATTCATGCACACAAT